GGTTTCATGTTGCCTGGACTGATATTCGTTTTGGTGGAACAATGACTTAAAATTTGGGTCACTAGAATTGGCAACCTTAATGACCTCAAAGAAAATGGAGGGTATATCAGTTTTTGCACGTACTGTGAGGGTAGTTCTGCAAGACAAGTGTCTTTACAATATTGGTAGGCTGTCATTCTCGTACAACAAATCTCTGGGACCCAGAAGAAGAGATACGTGGAACAAGCAACCACGACAAGCGAACTGTTGCAACACCATTCATAGATTTGGCGTTAGCCTCAATACCATCTACAATTCAGCAAACGGCAAAACGCGATTGGTAAAATCAAGACCTGTGTGGTCAGCCATAGCGAAAGAACGCTATTATCAAATATATTTGTCGATATAGAAATATAGAAGATCAAGACAGTCTCTGTTGGAATATGCGAGACACGAAGATCTACAGATCTTGTTGCGCAACGGCATAACGTGTTCCTCAGGAAGGCCTTCGAGAACTGAGCTCAGACCGGCGCGATTGGTTCAAAAGAGGAAGGCTATGCCATTTGAACTGAGCTGTAATATTATATCACCTCGCATGTCAATCTCTCAGTTCTAATTCTGCAGATGGACAATAAAGAGCGTTGAAAATAATATACGCTTGCAACACACTCAAAGAGCTGAAGATGAGGTTATCCAGCAATTCTACATGGAAGTGGAAAGCTCATCGGAGAAGATCACATACGATTGTCCAATGAGAGATGAGACTTCAATGCAGTGATCGGAAACGAACAATTGACGCGAAAATATTCATCGGCAAATAGAGAAAGAACGAAAAAATGACCGAGGAGAGAGCTTCGCAACTTTTCCTGAAAGTTACCATCCCAACCTCATGACCTCATCCACTTTCCAGAGTGTCCCAAAGCAACAATGGACATGGTGAGGTCCAGACGGTATAGACTATCTACGAGAAACGATTGATATCAAACGTGAGTGTCATAGGCGAGAGTATCATCTCTAATGGATCTGACCACAAACGTTTCCGTTCCACAGCTCTAGTAGATGTCCCCACAGAGGAGCACTTTAAAGAGGCCCAAAAGCTAGCTATTTATGCGGAACCACGATTCGATGCGAAGGCTTTCACTGAGAAGCTACCATTAATGTACCTCGAAATGAACATCAGCGATGACCTAGATGCGGACTATGACCATTTTGTAAATGCCCTAAAGACTGCCTTTGAAGATCAAGCCAGACGGTAAAGTCAAAGAAACGTCAACCCTTGAATGAGGGCGCTAAGAGCTGGAAGTGCTGAACTGAAGATCGAATGGAACATAGACAAAGAGCACATCGTATTGTGCAAGAAGATGCGAAAGAAGCTGAGGGAAGACGGCGAAAGTTACTCGAGAATTCGATTAAGGAGTCCACGGAGAGAAAGAAAGGCCCGCAAACGGTGGAACATGATAATCTCCTGAAACAGCGGATTTCGAGGACGCTGAAATTCGAAGAAAGAGGAAAAACTAGTGATGACGATCAGATGAAAGCGATTTGCATATATCTGCATCTACATCAACCTGACTCTTCCTGAGTAGGTCTGAATTGGAAGTTTCTGCACGATGCTTACAAAGGCACATTCGAAATTTAGTTGAGTAATCAGAAGCATTAAAAATGGCAAATGTCAAGGCGAAAAAAAACAAAACTAAAACATCTCAAATCAAGAGGAACAGCCTGTTTGAAGCATCTGGCAAACATTTTGCATAATACATCAAGAACAAAACGCCTGCAGTTTGAGAGTCATCAAGCATGATTCTTCTCATGAAGAAAGGCGACTCCGAAGACCTCAAAAATTATCAAAAACTACACTCCTGCACAATTACAATCTTGTCGCCAATCTACAGTCCTTTCCTGCATCGTTCTGAATGATTTCGAACTAATCATAATTCAGAAACAAGCCGGCTTCTGAACAGGGTTTTCTATCGTCGACTATAAATATGTAATCAATCCAGCAGCTAGCAGAAAAGCTCGACGAATATTTGCCACTCTGTTTGGCTTTCATCGACTGCAAGAAAGCATCTGATTCGGCAGAATTGATAGATGTGCTAAATGACTTGCATGAATATGGCATACACCTTGGTTGGTCAGCCTGATCCAGGAATTGAACACCGGTTGCACGACTGACATGACGCTGTTCAGTGAATCATGTCGCATCAGTGCCCATCGAGGAATGCCGCAAGGAAATTCTATGTGCGCTATAGCCTTGCCACCCTTGAACCGGCTGAACTGATGAAACGGCATACATATTTATGCAAAACAGCTAATGCACTTCTTTGCAGACGACTGGATCGTCTTCGCACAAGAGACGATGGAATTCCAACAGAAGATCCATCAGCTGCAAGAAGAATCTGTCACCACTGCTTTAAAGGTTAGCCTCTCCGAGATGAAATGGATGCGAAACGACCATCGCCAGATGGCTTTGACTACGAGGAAGGCGCAGAACTCGAATAAGTAAGGAGATGTACCTACCTTGACTGTCAGATGAACCGCGTGAACTCGCTAGACGGGGAAGGAGGAAGGAGGAGGAATGAGGAAGGCGGCTTGGGCCAGTCTTAATCGCACTAAAACATCATTATTCAAAGGTGAGCTGCCCCTGTGGGGAAAGAAAGAACTATTCAGTTCAACCGTCCTATTGGCCATGATCTACGGTGCTGAATGTCGGTCTGCTATTAAAACCGAGGAGGACAAACTAATGGCCACAGAAAGAGGCATGGAGAGAAAGATGTACAAGATGACCCTCCTGGAACAAGTTCCAAGAGTGCAAGTTCGACCAAGGACTGAATTAACAGATGACCTTCTCCGTTCTACAACGCCAAAACAAGCCGGACCAGTAATGCGGTTCGTTTGGGAGACAATAGGTCGAGGTCAAAAATGAGAGGCTGGGTTGTGCCGGACCACAGCCTCAAGCCAGCAGTTCACGGACATGCTGGAATGATTCCAGGATTATATTACTTGGTCTGCGGTGGAGGCAAAAAGAGGAAAATAGAGACTGTTTGAGGAGCGTCGATTTACGCTCATAACCCACCAATCACTATTACAAGTCAGATAGCGGATAAATAACGCAACAAATTATAGAAAAGTTATATTTTTTTGGAATTGCGAAGGAGTATGAAGACTAACGAATTGATCTGAGCACAAATCTTCGTCT